ATGAAACAACTTTCGTTGGTTAGGAAAAAGACTAACTTAGATTTTTAAAAAGAGATTTACGATAAGTATCGAGGGAACTGATTTAATAAAGATTTCATTTGTTATCCCAAAAACATGTGTTATTGAAAATATCGATCCTGTATACAGTCATTCAATATATCTGTAAATACAGTCTGTCTTACTAACTCTCCTGACAAAGGACCTAAGGTCGAAAACGTCGAGAAGTGTTTTGTCTATATTTTAGGCAGTTGTTATGCCACATTTGATGCTACGTTCTTTGAAAACGCTGCCACACTGCTCCCTGGTTATATTGGAACTTATCTGTAAATGGCTTAATGAGATTCCATCTCGGGAACACTTAGTACTATTTTTTGTAACTTCTAATAAGTTCGGTATTTATCCCCCAAGAAATTAATGCGCTCTGGAAATGCGGTACTAATACGCACACTATTAATACGACGCCTATAATAGTATCGAAGAAGTGATTTTAAAAGATTTCCACTTAGGACATGAAGTTAAACTCCAAGACCAGAAAAATTTTCAAGGATCTTTTTTTCTCTTGTGTAAAATATTTAGCATTATTACAGCTAAACAAGGTGTGGTGCACAGCTTAATTCAGACTTCGAAAAAATATTTACAACTTTACCATGCACTATAGCAATTACTCTCACGCAAAAACATGAGCGGTTGGGGAATATCTCCACTCTATATAGAGTGCACGTTTTTCTTAACCGGGAGTAATTATTATTAAATGTTAAATTCCTAATACTTAAACAACTCGAACGCAACAAATATATAGCTACTGAAGTAAAAAATATAAATATAGCTATCGAAGTTCTTCCACTAAAAAGATTCTCCACGAGACACGCGAGAACGAGGGTGTGTGTATTGCGAGGATACCACGCACAAAGCCACAAATTGCCCAAAAGTTGTGGAAAGAGAACAAAGGAGAAAGATATTAGCAGAAAAGAGACTATACTTCAATTGTAAAGGAAGTCAACATCGTGCTGCCAATTGTAAAAGCAAACTCGGATGCCAGAAATGTAACAAGAAACATCATACCTCAATTTGTGAACAATCAGAAGAGCAATTGCTAGTCGCAGGCAATGACGTGAACACACGAGTGACGCACCCGGTCGTGATAGTCGAAGTTGAAGGTGTCAAGTGTAGAGCCTTACTCTTCACACAGGCGCAGGCAGTTCCTACGATCTGCTGCACTTTTGGATCGTATTTCAACGCGGAAGTGGAAGAAAGAAAATCGACATAATGCTCGGTGTGACAACGAGGGAAGTCGAATTGTCGACCATTGAAGATCAAGGGAGGATTGGGTAAATTTTCTATGTCAGTAGAAGTCACCAAAGTGAACAAGGGGGAACTCTTATTCATAGACGATCCGAGATATCAGCACATGATTGAGCAAAACCCACACTTGAAAGTTGTCGTCATGGAGGACATTAGGGACCTTAAGCATGTTGGAAACGGCAACACGACGATGACGCGGCTTTGAAATTCTCCTTTAAATAAATGCTATAGCAAAGTTGTTGTTTTATATTATTAATTGTAATGATTTAGTGAGTATAAGGCGTTAAGAACATTGTGTTTATGTTTAAGGGCAAATCTATAGAGCCTAATTCGAGGTAGTGCTCGCTAGGTCCTGAAATGCACCCGTTCTAGGCAAGACGTAAAAAACGACGTTTTCCCGTTGTAAACAGAACGAAGACGACGTCTAAAACCCATCTGGGTCTTTAAATATTCATTTCTTTTCAATGACCCGTTGTATTAAAAGCCGTCGTCGTCGCGTTCGCGTTCTACATGCTTAAGGTCGCTATTGACGAGAAAGAGCGTCTACCGGTTCACATCATTCTGGGAGCGAGCGAGTTTGCGAAGTTGAAAACCGACGTGCCCCCCCCCCCCTCCAAAGTCGGCCAACCAGGCCAATCAGTAGCAGAGTTGACACAGTTTGGATGGACTATTATGTCTCCCGGGAAGGAATCTTGCAACATAACCAACACGCTTTTGACTCAGACATCCCAGGCCGATTATGAAGAGCTGTGTCGTCTGGATATCTTGGGCTTAAAGGATACACCTACTAATGACCAGTACAGTGTGTTTGATGATTTCAAGGAACAACTCACCCGGGACCAAAGTGGTTGGTACGAGACAGGCCTCCCGTGGCGTGGCAACCGCCCTCCATTGCCCAACAATGAATTCTTTGCGACGATTAACAAGTTTAACGAACAGACTTGAGCGTCAGGGTTTAACAACCAAATACGGGGAGATAATCGAGGAACAAAAATCAAAGGGGGTAATCGAAAAAGCTGAACAGCCAAGTGTAGGAAGAGAATACTACATCCCCCACAATTATTCGACCTGATACAGAATCTACAAAATCCGAGTTGTTTATGACGCTTCTGTATTCCATCGCTGAATGAGTGTCTAAACCCCGGGCCCCCGTTGCAAAATAAATTGTGGGACGTGTTAGTGAGGGGACGCTTTCATCCAGTGGCTCTAACGGGAGACTTGCAAAGGGCCTTTTTGCAAGTACGTATTCGTGAAAACGACCGAGACGCGCTTCGCTTCCACTGGCGTAAAGACCCGCAAGCAGAACTAGAGACCTTGCGATTTACCAGGGCTCTTTTCGGGCTGGTGTCATCTCGATACACACCTGAGTAGCTGGGAAGAAAGAGAGCCTGAAGTAGTATCAAAACTTCGTGAGGCGTTGTACGTGGACGATCTGATATCAGGGTCAACAACCGTATCAAAGACGGCGGAAGTTAAAGAGAAAGCAAAGAGGAAAAATTAAAGATGATATAAAGTATGGAATGCCAAAGTGGACAAAAGTCCCTGAGAATTTTTTTATAGACGCGAGAATTTTTTTACAGACGCGAGAATTTTTTTATAGACGCGAGAATTTTTTTATAGATGCGAGAATGTTTTTATAGATGCGAGAATTTTTTTATAGATGCGAGAATTTTTTTATAGATGCGAGAATTTTTTTATAGATGCGAGAATTTTTTTATAGTTGCGAGAATAGTTTTTTAGATCCGGTAATGCTTCTATAAATGCGAATTTTTTTTATAAATGCAAACATTTTTTATACAAATGAAAATTTTTAGACGCTATTACTGTTATTCCAAATTGCGTTCAACATGGTTTACTTCGTTTTTATATGTGCTCTCGTTTTTAACGCGCCTAATTTGGCTTCAGGTGAAGATGAAGAATTGCAGAATTTTTTCTGTCGTTACAAGACTGTTTAGACACGATTGATACGAGCGAGTTGTCCAGTAATTTTAATTTGCTGCAGCATTTTACAGACCGTTTGGAAGACTTCATTCAAATTCTAACTGCTATGTCTTTAGCTATTGGCAATGATGAAACACTTATAGTTGGACAGTTAGTTGCAAGCTTACTCGATATTTTGATGACAAGAATCGATTATCTTAGAACTGAACTAAGTGCATCCAACGAAGAAGCTGTCAGAGTTGGCAGAGTACAAAGAGAGCTTCATCACGAAGGGAGCTCCGGCGGTAGACGACGGTACTCCATTGCTCAAGAGCAAATTGAAATTCTCCGTAGTACTGGCATGCATTGGACTGCAATAGCCAGCTGTTTGGGCGTTAGTGCTAAGACAATCTACCGAAGAAGAAAAGAATGCGGCATGAATGATTCATACGATGATATTTCCAATGAAGAGCTAGAAACATGCGTTAGAGACATTTTAAGATTGACACCTTACTCAGGGGAAACCTATGTACGAGGGGCATTGCGTGCAAGAGGTATCAATGTCCAGAGATGGAAGATCCGAGATGTACTGCACACAATTGATCCAATAAACCGTGCAATTCGATCGGCGAAGGTGCGCTATTCAACGACGAGCATATAACGTAAGAAAGCCAAATAATCTATGGCACATTGATTCTAATCACAAACTAATCAGTTGGAGGTTTGTGTTCCATGGATGTATCGATGGATATAGCAGGACTATTATATACCTAAAATGCTGTACCAACAATCTAGCACGTACAGCATTAGAATATTTTATACAAGGTACGCAAGAATATGGACTGCCTTTAAGAGTAAGAGGCGACAAGGGCGTTGAAAACGTTGATGTTGCTCGTTTTATGATCAGAAACCGGGGATTAAATCGTGGAAGTTTCATTTGTGGCCGTAGTGTGCACAACCAAAGGATCGAGCGCCTGTGGGCGGAATTAAACAGGGTCGTATCCGCGTATTATAAAGATCTTTTCAAATTCATGGAAGAGAACGACCTTCTTAATGTTCATGACGAAGTGGATTTGTTTGCGTTGCATTACGTATATTTACCTGCAGTACAAGCTTCGGTAGAGGAGTTTGTGAACCAGTGGAACTGTCACGGTCTCCATACAATGCGCCATCAATCCCCCCTAGCACTATGGTATTCAGAGATAAGTGAATGCGATGAAGTTAATGTAGATGGCCATATAGGGCTTTATGGCATTGATCCCGATGGGCCTGTCGTTGACATTGAAACGGACAATATGGTAATTGTTCCAGGAAGCACCATTCACTTAAACAACGAGCAGATAATGGAAATAAAAGAACTAGTTCCAACTCCCCAAGACGATGATGGTAACCATGGTTTAAATCATTACCAAACAGTTCGCGATTGTTTGAGGGGGCACTTTTCATGAACAAAAATGTATATAATATAAAATATGCTAATGTGTACATAGAATATATGGTGTAATACCTTGTTCAAAGCCTAGTTTTAACACTTTTACAAACGGTATCATTATTTATACAAATCGTTTCTTACAAATCGCTACTTTATGTATACAAATCGTTTCAAAGCGCGTGAACACGGCAGCAAACGATAAGGGAACCAAATTTGAATATGTTATGTTTGACATCAAACTTTTCTTATGTAAAAAATGTGAATTATAATTAATCGATGTTAATAAAACATACAACGTAACCGTAACAATATAATCAAAAGCTATGTTTTGGCAGTTTTTAGTCTTTTAGTCTTTAACTCTTTGGAAATCAACGATATGAAATGACCATTCTCCATGACGACGAAGAATACTACTAAATTCTTCAGACAGTTCATTGTATGACTGGTAATTAGCCGGAATGACCAGAAGAGGACCACACGTGTGGGCTGTTGGACGACGACTAAAACCAATTTCTTCATTAAATCCAACATCAACCTTTTCCACAGCAAGGGTATCACTACCGGTTATGAACTGCAGAAATAGGCGAAGCATAGCGTGGTCGAGAGATTTAATGAACCTCTTCAAATGAGACAGACACTCTCTTTCGGCGTCAGTGCTGGGATTCGCTCTTAAAAGATTACAAACTTTTTTATTAGATGGCTTTTTTGCCTCATAAAGAGCATGCAAGCTTTCTATGCTAGTAAATTCTGGGTGTTGTTTAAGCTTGTTAACGATAGGAATCCATGCATTTGCTATGTATTTCGGACGTTGAATCAATTCTTGATGAGCAAGTTCGTCGATAATTGTTGGCATGTTCTCCTTGCTAACGACCCGATAACACTTGTAGGCACTTAAGAAATCAAGAAGATCTTGATTTTTTCCAAGGTCCCCGCATTCCGGAGTCAAACACTTCTTGAGAGTTTCACTCTCGTCTGCAGCTATGTATCGGTGAAAAGAATCCAATAGCCATTCATTCGGGAGTAATTCTTCTGTGAAAAAGCACGAAGCTATAAATGCTTTTGACAATCCGATAGGAAAATAACTAAACTTGGAATAGCCGACAAAAAGGATACGCCCGACACTTTGCCATTCGGTCATTTGATAATCGTGCCGAATGGCTGGAACTTTTTCAGAAACGCCGAGCGTCAAAGAGTCGTAGAACTCGCTCCAAAATAAACTGAATGCTTCTCTTTTCACTCCAGAGCCTCTCCCCTCTTCAATCTTTCCTTGGTTATCAATAAAAACTATTTCAAGAGCACAATTAAGAACTTCCTCCTCTTTAAAGGCTGCAATCATGTCTTTCAACACATTGCTACGATGAATGGCAATCTCTTTAACAAGTGCAGGCGCATCTTCCAAGAGATGATCATCAGTGCCGGTGGAAATCTCATCACATGCCCAATCTACAGGATCTTAATTATACAAATATAGTGCCAATTAATATTTTGAGTATAGAATTATGTGCTGCATACAAAAGTAAAGGAAGTGTATATATACCTTTAAAATAAATACATAACTATATACATATGAAATAAATACATAACTATTTACTATCAAGTTCAGATAACTTTTCAAAGCATCGTTCCTAAATCAGGACTATGTTTGTTGTCAACTTGCAAATTACACTTCCATTTCTTTTCAAAAGCATCTAAAAGTATGAACAGGTTAAATAAAATTCTCAATGCTTTGTCACAGATGAGTTTATATAGGATAATGAAGAATGTGTTTACTGTTTAATATTTACAGGCTAACACCCCCAATTTCTGATTGTGTACGACAGTTGAGTGGGTATTACAGGTGAAAAGGTAATCTGATATCGACAATAATAACAGGAAGTAATTGTGACCTACAATGATAAATTTAATGACAAGACTCTGCATAATAAAACCTGACTCAGCGCTCTTTTAAAGTTTACAAACATGTGCTTAATTACCATTCTGCTTATCAAGTGTCTTTTTAAAATCATTTCTTATAAAAAACATTATTATAGATTTAATACTTATAGTTATAGTTATAGATTTTATAGTTATAGATTTAATTACTGACGGATTGTTTATTACATATGCTTATAGAAAAATGTCTAATTTGTAAAATAATATGAAATAATTATATAATATATATATATATATATATATATATATATATATATAATATATATATATATATATATATATATATATATATATATATATATATATACAATATGATTTTCATGTTGGAATTTGGAAATAAGAATGGATTGATTGAAAATGTTGAGAAATGGCATGCTAATACCAAATAAATAATGAACTTAATTGTTAAAAATGCAAGCTACCTTGTTGAACAGTATTTGTAATAGTACATTCTGCCACTTCTGCAACTTCAACATCTGTAATTGCAGCTTCTGCACGGATAGCAACTTCATTAGCCACCTCATCTGGTACATATTCAGCATTATATAATGCTGGATGCTCTTCTGGATTTTCAATCACCCCACCTAGAAAATTATATGCATGGAAATTAAAATCAGCTGGTAAGTCACACAACAAGTGCACTAAAAATCTATTAAATACTTAATTGAAGCAGACTGCAAAGCTATCTTACCAATTGGCATGTCAACAGATTGGGAAGAGTTGATGATATCTATATTTGAGTTTGCCAAGGTATTGTCATCAGAATTATCATCAAATATATCAGAAGGTAATTCATGTTTTTGTGTCTTTCGTTCAATTTCATCAGGCTGGAAGAGGATTTTCTTTGATGGTCTGATGTAAACTGGTTTATTGTTGGCAAACACTTTGCTCATAACCAAACCAGTCAAACATTGACCTGGAGGCAATGATGGTGTATGTAACGGTCCTACTAATAACCGACAACAACCGACAACAACCGACAACAAGCTAAAAATTACTGACAGAAAGCTTATAATCATCGATACCGATCTAACAGACGCTAATATTGTGTTTCTTCGACTTTATTTTTACAATAACAGTAATAATATTACGAATTTCGGGCCCGTCGTCAATTTCGTGCGTTTGGATTTGAATACCTTCAGCTGTATTTAGCGTGTTGGATGGTCGTTCAGATCGTCCAAACACTTTCCTGACCTCTTCCTCCACTGTTTGGTTTATAGTATTGCCTGTGTTTCGAGTGCTGGTACCTTGGCCTGCCGATCCGATACTGGCAGATGGACTTAAAGCATCAGATAATTCCCCAACATGACTTAATATTTGCGTTAAAATCTCATTTGCGGCCCGTGCGGGTCTTGTTGCTGAAGCTGAATTTCTAGCCGCCATTTTGTGTTGTGTATAACTGCCACAGTGACAAGTGACAACTGCACATTATTTCCCGCCATAAGTATAAGTAGAACTGGCAGTCAGTATAATGTATATTTTTGCGTTTGTAAATTTATATATAATGTATAATAAAAAATTCTCGCCCTAATATAAAAATATTTTGCGTCTAAAAAGTCTCGTTTCTACAAAATAATTCTCGCAACTATAAATAAATAAAAGCATTCTCGCTTCTGTAGAAGAATTCTCGCATTTACAAAGTAATTCTCGCATCTATAAAAAAATTCTCGCGTCTATAAAAAAATTCTCGCGTCTATAAAAAAATTCTCGCGTCTATAAAAAAATTCTCGCGTCTATAAAAAAATTCTCAGGGACTTTTGTCCACTTAGGCATTCCATAATAAAGTCTGTTTTAAACTAAATTATTGGTCACAAAAAACTAAATAACATTCCCAAGTTACGAGTTAATATGTTCAGGGCAACTAGGTACATAATCCATCACAATTATTATCACTACATTGGTTTGATTAATGGAAGTAATCACCACACAAAAACTTCCCTTTCAACCCAATGTTTCGACACTCTAGTCTAGTGTCATTACCACTAACATTGTGTGGAATGATTAAAAAGTCATTACCACTAACAATCGTTATGCAGAAAGGCATTGTTTGGAGGCCTGGCATATTAATGTGAGTCTTTGTGCCATAAACAGGGATGACAGAGCTATTTGCCAAAAGAATATCAATTTTACATCTCATTGATAGTTGACGTCATGTTTAGAGTATATAAGGATCTGAGTCTCAACATCAGATCAACCTTGATGAAGACACTAGACCAGAGTGTTGAAATCTTGGGTCATGAATGTATAATCTTTGGGATTACTTTCATTAATCAAACCAGAGTAGAGATAATTCGGATGGATCCGCCAGTTAATTGCTCCTCAATGTTTAAAATTAAATAATTTCATTAAAATCCCAAAATCAAGGCAACATTTCATGTTATAGTTTAATCAAAATTTCAATCATGTTATGCCTGGAATGTTGTTTAGTTTGTCATAAGCCAAAATAAAGCCCAAATTACAAAGTACACAACTTTTCAATTTGCAATTTCTTATAGCAATCCTCGAATTTTGTTTTCATTCTTATGAGAAGGAAAAAAGAGGGCACTAACTTCCCAACATAACAAGATAATGGTGTATGTAACATATTATTTAAACCATATTTTAGGAACCGATGTCCATTTTAAAGTGGGACTTATAGGGGCATTTTTCTAGCTTATCTGTTAGAGGTATGGGTATCAAGGCATATTAGAGAGGGGTAACCCACCCTATTTATACACTGGATGTGTTATAAATGGTGGGTTTTATTTAATTTTGTCTTATACTGAATTACAATGGCGGAGCAAACTTGCGTATTTTGCCATTAAGGGGCTGTTTACATGAGCCCGGTTACCCGAGATTCAACAAAGCGTGAGAGGACTTTGAGGTATTGAAATAAGTCTTTATTACACCAAACAAGGACATGCTATTGTTGTGGTGATTGTACGACTGCCAAGCTCATGTTATCTGCTCATTTTAATACCTCAAAATCATCTCACGCTTCGTTGAATCTCGGGTAACCGGGCTCATGTAAACAGCCCTTAAATGACTATGGTCTGATAGTATGATACTGTACCTCTTATGAATTGCGTTTAATCCATTGTTCTGTTGAATCTATTCTCAATCTCCTGCGTTTTCCAGTGAAAAATACGCCATATCAAAGTAAAATAACTTATTTCTATCCTATAAAGAAAGTGTTAATGTTCCAATTTCAGAGAAATGTACAAAGTATCAAATTATAAACATTTTATAACAATTTGCAAATTGACATTATACAGGAATGAATATAAGTGCTTCCACTTCGATTACCAAATTATCACGAAACTCAAAAACCAAGTTGAAATACCAGATAATCGAGTAAATCGAGGTAAATTCCAGTCTCTTAGCCTTACTTTCATTAACACAGACCTTCGTTGTTCAGGCTACCGGTCTCCTGTCTCAAAAATGGGACATTCTCACACAAGCATTTTCTTTAAATTCTGAGACACACAATTTCATTTCATTTTCTCCAAGAGACGGTGGAGGAAAGAGAAAAAATTCCTTGTGCCCAAGGTTGCCCTCCAAAATACTAGCTAGTTTGATTGAGTAGTTTCCTAGCGTATTTGAATGAATTACTCAGGGGCGCCGTGGCCGGGGGGGCCAGGGGGGGCCATGGCCCCCCCCCAGGATTCAAACCTGTCGGAAATTTACGAACATTGCATGTTGTCAGAGTATATCAATCATAACAGAGACTAAGCTATTTTTGCATTTGTGGCTGTGTTATGCTGAACAACCCAAAAGTATTTGAACTATCAGAAAATAGACGCGGTTATTTCTAATATTATACGGTACGACACTACCCCAGGTTTTTATTATACTGTTGTCGCGCAGGCTAAACTAGTTGTTTCTTCCGAACGTTTCCGGTTTCCGATAAACATAGTTTCTATTAATATAACATTACGCAAGGAATGTAATTTTCGAAATGTCGGAGATTGGCGCGATAAAATCGCGATGAATGGCGATGTATCTTCGACCGCATTTATTGTTCAGTGAGTTTATACAGTTTATTGCATTATATGGTGACTGTCTAAAGAAACACCAGCATGTTCCGTATCAGAATGCTGGAGCTACAGCAAATCCTTTTCAAGTTTATAGTACTTTTTATCAAACGGTTCCTGAAGTTTATACAAAGATAAGGTACCACGATAGTACAGCAGAAGAAGTAAACTGATGAGAGGATTGAAGCATTTGCGAATATGTTTATATTTTGGTTATAAACAAATGTTGCGTATAGAATACGCTGTATGCTCATCCACTAAGGTTACAAAGCTATAATAGAGTATCGTGAAATAACGTATCGCGTTATTTGTTAATGCATGTGGATTCTGCATGGAAATCTCTGTAATACAGTTTTCCCACAAACAGTTAACTGTATCAAAAATTATTCAACTACTCAATTGAAAAGCGTATGTAAAACGTGAATATTTATTGGTCATATTCATTGTGCATGAAGCGTTAATTTAAATAAGTAGACGTAGCTCGTGATCTTTGTCATAGCAAATGCATGTGCGTCCTTGCCCAAACCCCCCTGTCAGTTTTATCAATATTCATTACTTTTTCTTATAAAGATGTCGGGAAAAAAACGTGCTTGTCGGAATAATGTTGCCTTTGGCCACCCCTACATTAGCACACCCACGGCGCCCCTGGAATTACTAGGGAAATAGTAAGTAGCCTAAGCATAACTGCATAAGCATCATCATCATAGGGTAAAGACCATACGTATACAGTACAATACAATGGCCTAATTTATTTTGAACACTCACCGTTAGGAGCTTTTCCGTGAACAAATTAAAAATAATGATAAATTATCACCTATAACTATCTTGGTATTTACACTAATTTACAAATAATATATGCTGCTAAATATTTAATCTTATTCTACTAAACTTAGATAATCCTTTCTCCTTACTTTTTTTTAAAAGTAATAAACTGTGTTTCGAGTTCCACACACTAACAGCTGTATAATGGAATGTCTTTCGACTCGATGCAGTTTTTTTTGTTTAGTTAAAAATTCAAAGCAAGTGTGGCATCTCGTAAATATAATTGTTTTTCTATGAGAAGCGGGAAGCCAGCGCAGATTCTGAAGTATAGGCGCGTTATAATTATGATCAAATTTCTTTGCCCCTCTAATTATTCGGGCTGCAAACTTACATATATTTCTGGCCGAAGGGCCTGGCCAGACAGAAGAACAATACAACACTTTGCTAAATTAATACAAGCAATTTAATAATTGTTACTAACAAGTTTCTGCGGATCATCGGACGACTGCCAGACACCATGAGTTTAGTTTTTCCAGGGTTTAGTAGTAGACAGTTATCAAAACACCAGTTGCAGACTTTCTTTAGATTGCTTATACTATTCTCAGTTTCCCTCGAAGCTGCCACAGTATGCGTAAAAGACAAGAGTCAACTTGGTGTCATCTACATACCTTCTTAGCGCAGCTGTCACAAACTGTAGGGAGATCATGATATAAATGTTAAATAGCATCGCTCCAAGGACACTTCCCTGTAGTACACCAAAATTTACTTTGGTATAAACCATACAAAGGCAAAAGAATAACTTTTAAGTGTGTTAGTTCTTGATAGTTGCAATTGTGTATAAACTTCGTATCCTATTTTCGTTATTAATCAGGGAAGACAGTGTATAATTCCTGAAGCTCTTTCGCCTTGCCAGACAATTATATTTGTTCAAAGTTAAACTGATTTGTATAAAGGGCAGCCTCGTACCAAGGCGCTTTAGTGAAAAAAAAAAATACTGTTGCATTCAGCCAAGCATCCAGCTGTTATATAGAGTTCAGCTAAGAAAAATCGACGCGCTCGCTTTTTTTAGCTGATCTTTATACAATAGCTGAATGCAACATTTTTACTACTAAAGCGCCTGGGTTCGAGGCTGTATAAAGGGCTTCTGGAACCAGGGTGTCATACTTGATATTTTGTTCAAAGATTAAGACCATGATATTATATTATATTAAGACCATGATATTATTATATGTTATTGAGACCATGAGAGAATTTGTACGAATTTTGCAGTTTTGAATATGTTACGATATCAGTCTTGATAAATCCTTAATTCCCGGATAGCACACATGGTATATCTGGGCCCATAACTCTAAAAATTCCCTTCAAAAATTGAATTTATTTAATTGTTTAAAAATATTCAAAATTCGCGTCCAGTGTGTGTGGACCTTTCAGTATTCCGCCAAAATTGCATTTCCATTTTTGGTATCAAGAATACATTTCATCGCATAACACAGTTCTCAAAATAGCGGGTGCGAGGCGAAAGGCCGGTAGGATTTAAATTACTGTAGAACAAGTTTCGTGTACATACATACGACGTACAACGGACGCAACATAATGCATTGCGCTTGAGCT